CGCCGCGTGGGCAAAGTGGGTCCGACCGGCTGCCCCCCGCAGCGGGATTCCCGACACTTTGCACCCTGTAAGGAGAGGTGGGAAACTTGGCACCGGGATCTGGCCAGCTGCGCAGCCCCGCGGCCCCCGCCTGGCTCCCTGCCCCCTGCCAGAGCCCCGCCTGCCTCGGTCGCAGCCCCCCATGCCCCTCTGGGGTCCCTGAGCCCCACTCACTGCCCCGCTCCCCCTCCCTCCAGGGCACGCGGCATCCCTGGATTCGGGCTGGGTGGAACGGGGTGGGCCAGCCGCAGGGGTTCCCCGCCACATCCCCCTCTACCCCCTTAGCATGGGCAGCAAATGCTGGCATTGCCCTTTCCAGCAGAATACCAGGCTGCCCACGGGCACCGGCTCCCGCTGCCTGCCAGCCTCTGGCATGGCTGAGAAGGAGCATTTTGGAGTGAAGGGATGGTTTCAGGCAACTTGGGGTGCTCTGGTGCCCATTGGGGTCCAGCAGGCATCTTCCCAAGTACCAGCCACCCTCAAGTTTCCCCCGATGGGTTCATTTGCCTAATTATGAGAGCAAGCAGAGAGCGCAGGGCACCGCAGTTCTCCAGCCTGGCATCGTGAAGAGTTTTGCACCCAGGGAGGGACAGGGACCCGGGCACAGCAGGGGCTGGCGTGGGGCTGGTGGCAGGATCAGGGCCAGCACTGGCGGAAGGGCCGAGGGTGCCGGCGGGGCACGTTTGCAACTTGTCACGTCCGCAGAGACGGGGCAGGCTGTGCGGGGGAAACCCTGCGGTGTTTGACCCCGGTGCTTGTGTCTCCCGCCGCCACCAGCCGTGCCACAGGGGTGTTGGGCTGCCAGCCTTGCCCCGGAGCTGCGGCACCCACCGGACCCCCTTTCCGGGCACCCTGCGACCTGCAAGGTGGGTTGCTGGGAGCCAAGCGGGGCGCGGGGCAGGCAGAGCAGGGCTGAGGTGTTTACTCTGCCTGTTGTCAGCCGGCCAGGCGCTGCCGGGAATCGCCGGCCGCAGGGATAGGGGTGGGAGCGTGCGAGAGCAGGGGTGTGAGAAGGAAACACGCAGGCTGTGGGGAGACCAGGGGCAAGAGGATGTGGCCGGGGGGGGTCCCTCCCAAAGGGAAGCGCGTGGGGGGCTGCCCGGCCCCGGGGGTTATCTGAGCGTGCACCTCGACACCCGCCGCGGGAACTGCGCATGTGCACACGTAGGTCTAAGGGTGTGGGGTGTGTACATGTGTGCCATACGGACGCACACGTGCACATAGTATACACAGGTATGAGTGGGTGCATACCTGCCCCCTCCGAGGCTAGAGTGCCCTGGGGGGGCTGGGTCATGGCTGTGCCAGGGCCCAGCACTGGGCAGACCCCCAGCGCTTCTCCCACCCAGGGAGGGGGTGTCCATGGGTGCTTCACCTGCTCACCCAACCAATACCCCGGTGAAACAGCCCCAGGGGCCGCATGCCAGCCAGGCCCCCGTGCTCCATCACCCTCCCCAGCTCAGAGGGGTCTCCATGCTCTGCAGCCCTGCCAGGGATCTCCAGCGCCCTGAGTCACCTCTGGGTGACGGGTGCAGGGGTCGGAGCCCACCTCTGGGAGAGGGTCACTGGGTCTGGGATCCACCTCCGGGTGACGATCACCAAGGATGGGGTCCAGCTCTGGGCAAGGGTCACCAGGGTTGTGGTCCACCTCTGGGAGAGGGTCACCGGGGTTAGAGCCCACCTCTGGGTGAGGGTTTTTGGTGGCCTTTGTGCCTGGCTGCCACAGGTGGGAGCAGGACCCCAGCAGGGCTGACGGTCCCGGGACTGCCCAGCGCAGGGTCATTGATGCCATCTCTTCTGCAGGTACCAGTGCCACTTTCACCCCCTGGGCAGGCACAGCCAAGGCGCTGACCGCCGAGGTCCTGGTAGCCAAGCGCTCAGGCCAGAGGGCAGGTGAGCAGTCCCGGAGGGCGCCCGGGGACGCCCTTCCCGCTCCCCGAGCCAAGGGAGGAAGCGGCCGGAGGCAGGAAGCCGTCCCCCGGGCCCGGGGCCCCCGCTGCGATTTTGCTCGAAGGTCAGCGGCGACACAACAGGAAATCGCGCTGCCTCGCTGGGCGGCCGGGCAGGAGCCGGAGAACCGCTTCGTGCTGCCCCGGGGGTGCTCCCGGCCCCCGGCCCTCCGTCCCGGCTGGGCGGCTCGCGGAGAGCCCGCGCCACCGCCGTCCTCCATGGAAGGGGGACGGGAGCCGGGGAGCAGCCACTGGCCCCAGGGTGGAAGATGCAGGGCCGAAGCCCCCAGCTGAGCATGGAGCTGAACAGTGAGTGCGTGGCTAAAAGGGGGGATGGGAGCGAGCAGGAAGGGGCATTGCATTGGCAGCAAGCACAGTGCCCGCACAGCCCCCCACGTGGGCACCCCAAGAGATGAGCCCCACAGGCGGGCAGCAAACCCCAAGGGCAGCTCTGGTTTGGTCGGACCTGGCCGCTACCAGCATGCGAGGGCAGCCAAGCATCTCTCCGTGCCCGTCCTAGGGAAACAGGCTGCGCTGAGGGCTTTTGGGAACAGGTGTAGTGCCAAGGCAGGCAGCGAGGCAGGTGGATGCACAGAGGGCCTTTGGAGAGGAGATGCCTGTTGCCAGGATGGGCAGTCACTGGGGACAGCAGCCGCCCAGCCGAGAGGTGTCCGGGGCAGCAGCGTGCCGGCAGCGCTGGGGAAGGCAGTGCTGGCAGGCCAGCCCTCGGCCAGAGCAGCAGCGAGGAGCAGACGTATGCTGCAGGATGCTGCAGGCAGGGATTCCCCGAAGCGCACGTCACGCCCGGAGCTGCTCCTGGCACAGATCCGGAGGGCCGGCCCTGGTCCGCGCAGGGAGCGCAGCTCTGCTTCCCGCCTGCAGCCAAGCCAAAAAACTTGGCACAGTGGCCCCTCGGCACACACCAGCAGCACGGAAACCCTGGCTCTCCCCAGCGCTGACTGACCAGAGGGCAGCACCCAGCCCTCCTCAGCCCCCCCTAGACCTTCCCCTGCGCTCCCACCACGGGGCCACCAAGGCCACCAGCGGGCTAGGGCGAGGGGTTGCCATTGCATGCCTGGCCCTAGGCTGGAGCTGCACAGGGAGGGCGGCAGGGTGGCCAAGGTAACCCTGTCTCCCCCAGGACTGCTCCTCCTCACATCCTTCCTCCTGCACGTGGAAGAGGGCCGTGCCAGCCCAGCGCGGCTGGTCTGCGACACCAGACTCATCCAGAAGTACATCGGGGAGGCCAAGGACATGGAGAAGGGAGTGGTGAGGATACAGTCCCTCCCCAAAACCCAAGGCCAGGGACGGGGAGAGCTCCTGGTGTCTCACCTTGGCACCTCCTCTCCCTGTTTAGGGCCAGTGCCAGGCGCTGCCCGCGCTCAGCTGCCCCACGGTGCTGCCCTTGGTGGACTTCAACCTCCAGCAGTGGAAATCCAAATCGGTGAGAGGGGCTGGGAGGATGGTGCTGGCACCGGGGCACCCACGGGGCTGGAGAAGGAGCCCCCCGGGTTGGCACAGGCACCAGGAATGCTGAACGATGCCTGTGGGCGCACCTGGCGGCACAGGGGGGTGGAGGACCCCATCCAGACCTAGGGTGGGCAGAGGAATAAATGGGGGCCGGGAGCCAGCCCGCTCACTGCCTGCTCCCCCAGAACGAGACCAAGCGGCGAGAGATCCTCTGCGACCTGGCGCTGCTGGTGGGCGCTGTGGCGGAGGCGCAGGGCCAAGTGACCCAGGAGTGTGGGTCCAGGCAGCTGACCCAGCTTTACCAACACGCCAACTCCTTCCTCCTGCTCCTGCAGACCTTCAGCTGGGAGGTGAGACCTCCCCCACGCCAGCCAGGCCACCCTGGCGCAGCCGCCGCCTGCGCTGGGCCGGGTACGGCGGCTTTGTCACCCCCCTGTCCCACTCTTGTCCCTCAGGCAGGACCCTGGGAGCCGGGCTGCTCCCCACGCTCCACGGAGCAGACCCACGTCACCGGCATCTTCCTCACCTACCGGCAGCTGGTGCAGGGCAAGCTGCGCTTCTTCTTCCATGACCTGGCCAAGGACTTGTGCAAGGAAGGCCAGGGGGGTGGCAGAGACCCTCAGTGCAGGGCCCGGTGAGGGTGCGCACAGGGCTCAGCCCCCATCACGTGTCAGAGCAATCCTGCCGGAGGCTGAGCTGCGCTCTGGGTGCCCAGGAAGGTGCCCGCAGGGAAAGGGTTGGATCCCGCTCCTCGAGCCTTCGGCGACCGCAGACAGCAGCTACGCCCACGCGCCAGCGGGCACAGGCCCTGCTCCCGCCCAGGCAGGCCCCTCTACTGTGAATGCTTTACAATTAAAGAGCTATTTTTCTAAAGGGTTGCTTGCGTTCTCCTTTCCCCGCCGCTGTGGCAGGGGGACCGCACGCCCTCAGGGGACGTGCTCCGGGTCTCTCCCCGGTGCCCAGCTCCCTCCCACGGCAGCCGCCAGCTCTGCAGGGCAGAAGCGCTCCCACCGGAGCCCACTCGGGGACGTGAGCTACTGCTCCTCGCCCCCCTGCGCCCGCCTGCCTCTCCCCAGCCCCAGCCCCGTGCCCAGAGGGGTGGCAGAGAAGAGCCCCGTGCAGGTTTGGGCTGCCCGACCTTTGGGAAAGCGGTACAGGTCCCCTCTGCCCCGGCGCAGGCGTACCCGCTCCCTGCCAGCCTCATCCCTCAGCCAGCAGAGCCAGATCTAGAAAACACATCTCAGTTTAATCAAAAACGAGCCCGGCCTGCCTCAGGATGGCTCCTTCAGAAGCGGTCCGCAGCCCCAAGGCAGAGAGGTGGCTGTCCCAGTCCAGAGCCGGGGCCGCGCCTGCTTTTGAAGCGCAGGAAGGCAGAGGTGGGAAGCAACACCCAGCAGGCAGGACCACGGAGCACCCAGCACAGTCTCCACTCGGCCACCAGGCACCTCTCTCCATGCAGGAGGGGGCTGTGGATCCCAGCAGAAGTCCGAAAAGGCCGGGATGAGGAGGGGGACTGCTCCCTCCTCCCCAGCTCCGGCGGGGCCAGGCAGCGTGGATGCTGGGGCAGGATTTGGGGTCACAGGGCTCCTGTTTGCTCGCCAGCAGAACGTCTCTGGGGCAGCCCACGGAGGCAGGGGGTCTCCTAGAAGGCCAGCTTCTTCATCAGCAGGTAAACTCGAGAGTCCACTTCAAACCCGTGCAGGTTGTTTGCGTCTCCCTGTAGCCGCATGAGCAGCCCCCCGTAGGACACGTAGGCAGAGCTGGGGTGGGAGTAGAACAGCGGTGAGAGCAGGGAACCCCATGGGAGACCCGGGGGGGGATCCCGGTGCCTCCCCACCACCACCCCGGGGCACCGCGTCCCCCCGCTCCTGCCGACAGGCACTCACAGGCGCGTAGCTGCCTCTGTGGAGGTCTCATCCCCTTCAATCCTGTACACCTTGCCGTACATCACGTACTCGAACTGGTCTGCCCTGCGATGGGACGGTGGGAGCTCAGAGAAGAGTCAAAGCCAGGTGTTCCCCCAGCTGAGCGTCCTTTGGGAGAAGGCACCTCGCAGCCCCTCAGCACTTCACCTTTTCCCTCATCCACCCCCGCGTGGGTCCCGGCTGGGCCCCCGTACCTGGACGGCCTGTCATCCGTGGGGTTATACTCGCCATCATCCAGGGTGCCATCTTCGTACAAGGTGCTGGCGATGACCAGGCGGAATTTGTCCCCTGGGAGGAAAGGGCAGAGGAGTGGTGAGACGGCCAGGGGTGCAGCCAGAGCAGCAGCGGCCACTGCAGATTGGGGGGTGGTGGCAAGGAGCTGCCCTGGCGGGTTTAGCACAAAGCCCCGTCCCTGTGTTCAGTCCTCCAACAGGATTGCGGGGAACAAGGAAAAGATCACACTGGGCCCTCCGTCTCCCCACTCCTCATGGACACTGGTCACCACCATGGAGGAGACCAGTGCCACCAAGACACCGCTGCTGGTGTTTCCATGGGACACAGCAAGAGATTAGCTGGGGGAGTCCCCGAGGGCTTGGCTGGGCCCTGGGCAGGTATGTGAGACCCCGCAGCACCAGGTCCAGCCCTTCTGTGCTTCGTTTAGGGCAAGGCTCTCTTTTTCACCCATTTAGTATATTTAGCCACAGAAGCTCATTTCAAAGTGTCTCCCTTAAAGCTGGGCTGCCACCAGCTGAGGCAGTTTCACTAGACGGCATCTCTGGGGAACGGACCAGAGATAAGCACAAACAAATCTCACAGTGAGACGAGGCAGAATCCAGCTCAGCCCCAACACAGCGAGAGCGCCCAGCACCTCCTATCACCTGGGGACTGCACAGGGGCCCAAGAAAGTCTGAGACAGCTCCTTCCTTTTTCATAGCAAACTCGGCCTCCCTCCTCCAACCATCAGCGTGTGCCTCTCTAACCTCACCTCACCCCAGCCCACTCTGGACTAACAGCCCGATAGCTTACCGAGGTCCACGGGGTAGATCTGGATGTTCACATCCAGGATAAGGTCCATCTTGAAGGACTCGCTCTCACAGTGCAGGCGGGACACTGGAGACAGTGGCAGAGTCAGGACGAAGGACAGAGAAGACCCTCAGGGGCTGGGTGGGAGCAGGGTCCCAGGGCCAGGCCATTGCTGTCCCCACCCCGGACTGGCACCCGACCTATTCGGGGGAAGGGGTGCACAGGGCTCGGGGATGGCTGCCAGAGCCTGGGAGCAGCCTGAGGCGTGCGCGGCCAGGGACAGGGGCACGGTAGGCTGAGAAACAGAGCGTGCGGGGGCCGTGGGCGCACAGGCCGGGCTGGGGAAGCGGGGCGCACCAGGGCACGGCAACACACGGAGGGGTCGGTGCCAGACGATGGCGAGGGGACGGGGCACAGGGGCCACCACCGGCGGGAAGGGCAGAGACCGGGACAGACGGGGGGG